GAAAAAAATTTGACTTTATTGAATTGTAATAATAAAGTTTTGGGAAACATATATCAGCAAATAATCATGAATTGCTTACTCAAAAAAAAAAAAAAAACATGGAAAATATTGCTGATATTAACTAAATGCCTTAAAATAAATTTAAAGTTTAAGCAAATTTTTTTCCGCAAATGGTTTTACATGTAATTCTCAGGTTAACACCCTTTTGTGTTCAATAATACATTACTCAAATTATCCTAATGTTAGCATAAATTTAACAAAAAAAAAAAAAAAAAAATTATTTTTTAAGTTTCAGTTTGGGACTTTTATAATTTTCAAATAACTTTTTTTAAAATTATTTTTTTTTACATTTCAAGGCCCTAGCAAGTTTCTATTATTTATATATATTTGAATACCTTTGACTTATTATGTATAGAGTTGTGAAGACATAAAATAAAATTTCTAAATATTTTTGTTTTCCGTTTCCGGTCGTATAATGGCGGCTCAAGCTGGCTCGATGTGACACAGCCGCATATTATAATCATTTCAGCTATGCCGACATCTTGCCTACCTCACCGTCTAAAAACAAACTTTTTCATATTTCGAGGTTACACGAACGGCATCCATGCAGGTAAACATCACACCTAATTATCATTAAAAGCTAAAATGGCGTTGTAGTTATCAACAACAACAAAAAAAAAAATTTTTTTAAATGTAATTTAAGTTCTTTTATGTAATTTTTACAAAAAAAAAAAAACGATTTTTCGCTTTAATTGCTATTAATTCTTTTTTTTTTTTTTACCTTGTTGACAAATAACATCATTTAAAATATTTACATTATCTTGTGTTAATTATAATTATAATTAGCTGAAAATAAAAATTAGCTTTAAAAAAAAAAATTAGTTTTTTAAAACTTCTCAGTAACAAACTTATTTTTTTTTTTTTTTTTTTTTAAATTTGAAAGCACGTTTCTTAAAAATAAATAATATTATTATTTTAATAATAAAAATTCAATAATTTTTTTTTTTTAATAAAAATACTACTTACGAGACGTTCAACAATAACAAACAAACAAAATTTAAATTACGTATCCCATAAAAACAAAATGAATTTTTTTTTTTAAACTGAAATAAATTTTTTTTTTATTTACCTTGAATAATGTAATGATGTAATTATTATTATTATTATTATTTTTCCAATTATTGGTATTATTATTATTATTAATAATAAAATTAAAACAACCTGTCGTAAGCGAACTTTAGGTGTTACAGGCAAAATTGTTTTAATCCCCCGTGTTAACAACAATACTTTAATTTGCTTTGGTGTGTTCGTTTCATTGGTTGCCGTTTAAAAAAAATGACGAAAGATGTCGCTGTTGTATTTTTTTAAAAAAAAAAAAAACTGTTAATTTTTTTTTTTTTTTTTTTTTTCGTTTTTCAAAAATTTTTTTATTAAAGTTCGATTAATAATTAATAATTACTATAATTTTTAAAACATGAAATCGTTTTTAAAGTTTATTTAATAAATTATAATATATTTTTTGATTAAAAAAAAAAAAAAACACTCATAAAAATTTTCGGTTAAAAACGAACGTTACGTTTTTGTTACGTATTAAATAATAATAATAATAATAATAGTGCTATCATGTCCGAAATTTTAAAAAAAATTATCTTCGAATAATATTTATTAGTTTTTAATAAATAAAATAAATTGTTTGAAATTTAATTATTGAAATTTTTTTACCGATAAATTTAAGTATTAAATAAAAAAATTTAATTTTGTTTTATATGGACGTAATTCGATAAAAAAAAAAAAAAAAATTGTACACTAAATCACACCAAAAATTTTTCACACACACACGGACAACAACAAAAATTATAAGTAAATTATTATTAATAATTTTTTGTAAAAAAAAAATTACGTAAAAAAAAAAGGATAACTATTAAATTATGTTATTTTAATAACGTCGAAAAATAAACTGATGAAAATAATTTTTCACGCGAGTTTTATTATTATTTTTATTCGAATAAGAATGAGACACAAGATAACACTAAGATATATATTTATCTAATAAACCTAACCTCAATAACTAGATAGAAACGCAACTAAAATTGACCGTCTCTTACTAATTTTTTTCTTAGCATTCATTAACTTTATTATGCTAAATGTATTATTTTACTGTGTTTATTTAATTATCAACTTTTTTGTTAAAAAAAAAAAAAAAAAACATTTCCTGCGGCTAATTATGCTAAAAAAAAAAAAAAAAATTTCCCGGACTTTTAATTTTTTTAAGAAATCATTTTGCATTCAAAAACATAAAAATCTGTGTAAGACTGGATAATTCGTTTGCATTTAATGTTGATTATTTCCAATAATAATAATAATTTACATTAAAGAACATGATACACGCACACACACATAAATCATACGAAAAATATTATTATTTTATAAAATATACATAAATACTTATTGGGTTTATGTTTTACATGGTTATGTGCTTGATTAAACTTAAAATACTTTTGAAAAACTTAATAAATATAACTTTAATTGAATGCAGTTTATAGAGTAGTATGGTTTTTATCAAATGCAATGTTTTTATTAATATTAACAGCCTATTTTAATTTATGTAACATAAGTTTTCAATTCCATTTTTTTTTTGAAAAAATTCAAATAAAGTTTGATAATGTTAATATATAATAATAATTTTTAATGAATATTTAAATGCAGGTGGTGAACTCTTCAGGAAATTTTAATAACTATTTAATTTTTTTTTTATATGTGAATTTTCGACGTTTTAAAATTATATTTATTTTTATATATAAATTATTTAAATAATTAGTTAGTTTTTGTAATATTTACAGTTTTTAAATAAAAGGCACTACCTTTTTTTTTTTTCATTATATGTAAATGTTATAATGAAACGTCATTTAACAAAAATTTATTCAACGTATAAATTTTTTAAACGTGACAAGATTTGGTTATGATTTTGTAAGTGATAATGTAATATTCAAGTGCCTATTTCAAGTAAAATGGTTATTATTGTTAAATAAGAGATATGTCAAACAATAAAGAAATTTTAGAATTATTGCGTGGATCTTTTGATAGCAATTCAGAATCAGATGCAGGAGAAGTGGTTTTCCCTGCAGTTAGAAAAAAAAGATTTAGAAGGAGACATAAAAATAATCATTCGGTGCAAAATGAAGAAACATCAACCATTGATTGTCCCTGCAGGATCAGAACAATTATTTTAATATTTATTTGTATTATATTAATTTGCTGGTTAGTTATATTAACATGGTTGACATTGATGCTTCATGGTGAAATTAATCGGCTTAGTTCTCACGTGGCAAAAGGTAAGAAAAATTATTTTTTTGAACGGTTTCTGATTTTTATTTTTGAAAAAAAAAAAAAATTAACCAATGAATCCACGTATCAAATTTTTATTTCAAATTTTTATTTTTTATTAGTGCCTATTATTTGTTTTGTTGTCGAGATTTTTTTGTATAGAAAATTTTCCCGGGTTTTTGTTTTTCTTCTTTCAACCTGACGCCTGCTTAAATAAGTCCCTCAATTACAACCCTTGCGCTGTTGACTTATTTTAAGTTTACTTCTCTTACAAATTTTATTTCCGGATTTCATTGTTTTATTTTTTTTAAAAAAAAAACTAAATAATAAATTTTGTAAAGTAGTTTATTTATTTTTTTTTTTCGTATAATATTTTTTATCGTATTTACATCGAAACAAATCAATTTTGTGTTGTGAAAATATGAATTTAGAGTCAATAAGATTGAAGGACGTTATAAAAATCTTTAATCACTAATGGAAATGTTGTAATTACATCAAATTAACCTTTTCTAAATATTCATTTTTTAAATAATTTGTTCTTTATCATAATTTTTCAAAAATTCTCTGGTAATTAATTATTAACGAATTTTAAATGAAGTTACCTAAAATTTTAACCATTGTGAGTGGCGTATGACATTGTCAAATGATGACAGAACAACAGACATTGTTGTTATTATTATTATTTTTTAATCATTCTTTGGTAAAAAAAAATTAATTAATTACTTGGATGTACCTTAAAAGTTTTTAAAAATTTCCGTTAAGTTTTAAAGTCGTTGTGATTATTAAAATTTATATTAATTCACTTTTTTGTAAAAAAAAAAAAAAAAAAAAAAAATAGTGGACAAATTAATTTAAAGTTTTGTTATCAGAGTAAATTTTTCTCTTAAAAAGTTATTATTATTATCATTTTGGTAATTTATCACCTGATTTTATTTTATTTTTGCTAAAATTCTTTATAGAAAAGGTTTAGAAATAAATGATGATGATGATGATGATTTAAGGAAAGTTTTTTTTACAAAATTTCTGTTTAGATTATTATTATTATTATTATGCACTTGTTTTTTAAATTTTTATAAAGTGGAAAATTTTTAGTCATATACCTAATGAAACGATTGGAAAATTAAAAAATTTTCTTTAAATGAGGGTAACAAATGCAAACAAAATGTAGTCAAATAATTGAAAAAAAAAAAAAAAAAATATTAAATTTTTTACAATTGTATTGTTCTTTTGAAATTTTGTGGTAATATAATATTTATTACCATTTTATAAAATAGAAAAAGGTCTCTCTCTCTCTCTCTCTCTCTTTTAATTCAACGTCAACGAAAAATTCATTTAATTCAAAACATTGTTGTTTTAAAAAAGTGTTATTGATTGATATTGAATTTGCATTTTAATACTTTAGAATAAAATAGAAAAGGATTTCAGTGTATAAAAAAAAAAAAAAATTGTTTGCTAAAAAACCTCTTTGGGGGGGGAATATTTAAAAGACTATATAAATCATTTTACCTGACTCTTATAAACTTATTTTAATATGTTTGTTTAACTCCCTTTTGATTTTTCTTTTTCCCTCCCTCCCCCCCCTTTGAATTACATTTTGTTTTTGTTGTAACGTGTAAAAATGTATAGAATTTAATTTTTGATAAAAAATAATTAAAATGAGTTTAATGTCTCATGCCAACGTTCCCCTTCAAAATGGGAAAAAAATGAAAAAAAGAAAAGAATTGGATGCATTGGTTGCAAAAACAAGCATCAAACGTTCGGGTGATTCTGTAAAAAAATCCTGTAATGTCGGTGGGATTAGCAGTAGGGATAAGCTTTTATCCGATTCTACTGACGAATTAGAATATTGGATGTCACCCGTTGGTTGTAAACCCCCTCGATGTCACCGTCGTAAATATCTAATACGAAAGTGGGCTTGTTTTGCTTTCCTAAGAACGTGTTCTGCTATATTAATGTTTACTTGTGTCATAGCAAGCACGACAGTGATGTGGCTATTTGTTGACGTACGAGAACAGGTGACGTCACTGAGAACGGAACTCAATCAAGGTATTTTACGTCAAACTAAGGTTTCACTCAAGTTTTTTTTTTTTTTTTTTAAACTTACATCACGTACAAGGTTTAATAAGTTAATTTTCTACCTACGAGTCATTGTAATTCGTCAAGTTATTATTTATTTATTTATTTTTTCTTTTTCCAGTTGTTGCTGGGAATCAAGGAGTTCCGGATGCTTTACAAAAATGTCATACTCTGTCCAAGGACCTGCAAAAAAATCAAACTCTCATAATGAATCGTTTAAATGGATTTTCAATTTTATTTACGAATTTTAGTTTGGAAATGAGTGAAATGAAAACGGGTTTTCAAACCGTCCAAAGTCAACTTAAATCCTCTCCAGATCTCGTGAATATTCCCCTATTATTAAAAGACTTATCCGCGAGTGTCGCATCTTTCGGAAGTCAAATAAAAGACCTCAATTCGACCGTATCCACGTTGAAGGACCAAAATGGAAAATTGGATGCCTTGGTCGGGAGTCTAGTCAATAATTTAACGGATACGAGGAAAAAATTAACGGATTTATCAAATGCCAAATTTGATAAGAGTGACGTGATGGAAAAAGCATTCGCTGTTGAGAAAAAGGCCATTTTCGACGTTCTCAATCAAATTTCACGTAATTTGTCAATAATTAATAATACACTTAGCGAAAAATTGCAATGGACTGCCAAGGATCAATTATCGGATCATGTAAATTTTTTTTTCTTTTATTATTATTATTATTATTATTTTTTGACATACGTAAAATGGGATAGATGACGCATTATTATATTTACAAAATTTTTTTTTTGTTTTTTGCCGAAGAAATCCATTGAAAATTTGAGGGAAATGAATGAAAACGTGACGGCTCGAGTACAAACACTCGAGGGTTTATGCGCCAAAGAATCAAATACGAAAACGTCAAATTACGATTCCTCGACTTCTTTTCTTCGGGGGTCTTCGACAAACCTTTCCATGCCACTCACCGTGAAAAGTGAAAATACATCAGAAGAAAAAACAATCGATGGAGGGGAAAATCATTCACAATCATCTCAACAGATGAATAGAGGTCCACAATAGAATATTTTTCCCCATGTTTTAATTAATTAAAATAATTTTTTTTTTCAATTAATGTGTTTGTTTGCAAGAAAACTTTTAGATAATTGTTATTATTATTATTATCAATATTCACGAAAAAAAAAAAAAAATATTATTATATATATTGAATATGTTTATCTTTCAATAGATTTGCACAAAGAGAGGTAGATGTTTTTAATTCATTATTTTCCTTTGAAATTTCATTTTTTTTTTGTTTTATGTTTGTAAAGTTGAGGCAATTTAAAAAAAAAAAAAAATATTTTATAAATTTTTAAGGGATTTTCCTTTTTATAACATTTAATAAAAAAAAAAAAAAAAAAAACTGTAACAATGTTAATGAGAATATTATTAGCTTTGTAAAGTTTGTTGTTACATTTTAACAACTTAATAATAATTAGTGCCTCTCGATTTTTTTCTTTAATTATTTAGCACCTCCTTACCAAAAACTAAAATTTGCTTTTCCTTTACATGTTTTTTTTTTTCCAAAAAAATTTTATTTATTTATTTATTTTTATTACCATTTTTTGATTTGAAAAAAAAAAAAAATAACGAAAATGTAAAATTGCTTAAAAATTTTATATAAAAATAATAATTATTTAAAGGGGTTTTTTAAGAAAAAAAAATTCATTCATTAATTGATTAAAATATTTAAATATATATATTATTTGTTTTAAATTTAAAAAAAATAAATAATTATAATAATTTGAAATTTTATTATTATTATAATGTAAATTATGCATAATTTATGTAAATATTTTTATTAGGAATAAAAAAATAAATAAATGAAAATAAAATTTTTTTGTTTGTCGTGCGATTTTTGTTTTTAAAAAAAAACTTTTATTTATTTATTTATTTATTAAATAGCCTTATTTATTTTTCAATTTTTATTTTTTTTAAAAAAAAAAAAAAAAAAAAATTAATTTGATTATTTTTTAAATTATATTTGACTTAAAAAAATTTTTCATATGACGTATGACGTATGACGTATGACGAATTTTACTGATCATGCGCAGTGAGTTAAAACTAATCCAGAATAATGGCTGGCGTCGTTAAGCAGGTATTAAAAAAATTAATTTAAACTTATTCGAATAAACTAATTTTTAATTTTTTTTTTTTTTTTTAACGATGAAATGTTTTAAAATAAACGATAATTTTTTTTAAAAATAATTAAGTTTAATTTATTCAATAATTTTATTGTAAATATATAATAATTTTTTTCTATTTTTATCAACATTAAGTGAAATTTTAATGAAAAAAACACTTTAAATGAGGGAAAAAAAATACTTAAAAATTTTATTTATTAAATTTGAATCAGTTTTTTTAATTTGAAAGTCAAATAATATAAAATTAAATTAATTATTTATCTTTTATTTAATAACCATAAACAATTTTCATTTTATTTTGATCTATTGGATAGAAATATTTTCATTATGATAGAAAATGTATGATTAAAAAAAAGTATGTGAGCATTTAAATAATAGTAAAATATAAAAAAAATAATATTATATTTTAATAAATTAATAATTTATAATATAATATATCAAATAAAATACAGTGAGATTGGTTTGGATAATACAAATTGTGTTGATTAAATGTTCTTTAAATAAATTTTTCTTTATAATCAATAACTATTAATAAATTGATAAAATTAATAAGTAAACTATATCGTTTTAATTTAAAATAACTTATTTAAAAAAAAAACTTGTTTAAAAGCATTAAACATAAAATGATAAAATATATTGTGTATTTTAATAATTAAATAGAAGCAACTTTTTTGGTAATAATAAGCAAAATAAGAATAATTATTGCAAACAATAACATTTGTTTCATAAATTCATTTACTAACTTATTTTAATTTTCTCCTTACATTAAAATTAAGTAAAAATGTTATTTTCGAATGCTTTTTTCATGTTTAATAATTATCAATTAAAATTACTAAAAATTTTGCAATTTTTTTTAGAAAATGATCTCGTGAAACAAACAGTTACTTTTTTTGTTTTTACTTCAAAAGGGGTAAATAAAAATGAAATGTAACTGATATTTCATTATTAATGTAAATTAATTTCTACAATATTACAATTTAAATGTTACTTTAAAATAATTCCTTGTCGAATTAAATTTTCAATTATAAATAAATTATTTTTATCGTATAATGAAATTTTAAATCGCAATAATTTTTTACAGGCTACAAATTTAACAGGACTCGTTGTCAATCACAATCCTCACTATGTTCTCAGTAGATATTACAAAAGAATTTTACTTGTCATCAATAAAATGCCAGAGTCTTCGTTATACAGAAAACATGTTGAAAGCATTGTAAAAGAAAGATCAAAAATTGTCGAAACAGTAGGTTTTAAATTATATTAAATTTTGTAAGTATTTGTTTAAAAAATAAGTTAAAAATTTTTTTTTTTTAATTTTCAGACTAAAGATATAGAATCAATAGAAAGGAAAATTGGTTGTGGGCAAATAGAAGAAGTTATATTACAAGCTCAAAATGAACTTAATCTGGCAGAAAAATTATTACTTAGTAGGCCATGGGAAGAATTGGTTTCTGCTGCTCCAAAAAATCAATGGCAATGGCCAATTAAATAAATTTATTTTGAAAACTTTAAAAATCTTGTAAAGTATATATAATATTGTAGTTAAAAATAATATTGTTGTATTAAATAAAATAAAAAATTAAAGTTAAAAATATTTTTAATTACATAAAACATTTAAATAATAACGTTTAATATGCTGTAAAAAGTATGATTACGACGCAAATGTATTCATAATTTGATTTTAAAAAAATATTATTTATCAAAATGTTGAGGACTCAAAGGAAAACTTTTTTAAGAATTTAAAGAAATTACAAAGTAAAATGACTTAAGTTTTTAATTCTCGAAATTAAATTTAAATCTTTAAATGAAATCAAAGCGCGCCAACGTTTTGAATCATTTTTTTTCTAAAACCCCGAAGTCGAAATCTTAAAAAATTCAAAACTGTACGTGAACGCAGAATTTAAAATTTCGTCTGCTTTGTCATTAATTCAAAGTCGTAAAATTTGAATTATTTTATATTTTGAAAAATGGGTGGAACGGAAGGTCCTGGGGTAAAGGCTTTTTCTTTACAAGGAAGATTCCATGACGTTCGTCGAAGGGTTTTCATGACAGATGAAGAAAGACGATGGAGAGCTCAATTTTTGAAAGATATACAATTAGCTGACGGCGAACCTCGATATGTTCCTGAATATTATAGGGCTACTACTAACCCTATTCGGAGACTTTGGAAAAGTCCAATGTGGGTTTTACAAAATTTTCTACAATCTAAATTGGTGCGCCACAATAATTTAACTTTTTTTTTTACTTTGCTTTTGGATGATTAATCTATTTCTTTAATATTGTAATTGTAAACAAATTCGTGAATCTTGCAGGGAGAAACACCAGGATATCATGTTCGTCATATTATTGGTAAAACGTTTATTTTATTTATGGTGTCTTACATGGGAATATATTATATAAAATATCACAGTAGTGTAAGTATTCTGTTTTTTTTTTTTTTAAATTTTATTAAATTCAGTTCTACTTGTTCTACTTTTGATCTATTATATTATTCGATTATAAACCAATAATTCTAAATATCACTTACTCTATTATATATTATATGTTTATATAATATATATTAAATATTATATTATATTATTTGTATTATATATTTATAATGTATAAATATATATTACAAAAACATGTATACATATTTACTTACAAACATGTTTTATTGAAAAAAAAAAAAAAAATTCTTAGTACTTTTAAAATTTGTAATTACTTAGGTTTGATCAAGAATTGGACCCTCTCGACACATTGTGATAAAAATTTTTTTTTTATTACTTCTTGCACTGCAAAAACTGGGCTCTTATATTCATAATACTGATAAAGTTTTATTTCTATTAAAAGTGGCCTCAATAATAATTGCTGTTAGTAGTTTTCTATCTTTCTATTATATATTTAGTTAAAGATAATTTCATAATTTTTTTTTAGTTTTAGAGCTTGTTGTAATTTAATGAGTGCCCTACAATTTTTTTAACATTTATTTTAATTACTTGGAACAATTATTATTATTTAATATTGCTTTTAGGATTGGAAAAATGTTTTCGCAGCAGACTTTTACAGAGCCAAACCACCAATGGTACCAAGTCAACCTGGATATCCGAATGCTCCTAAAATGGCTCCTTTTGAATATTATGATAAAGGATTTTATTCAACTCCTTTTGCTGTTAAAATAGAAAAACCAGTAGCAGAAACATCTTCCAAAAAAAGAAGAGCAAAAAAACAACAACAACAGGAAGATGAAGATGATGAACCCTGCTGAATTAACAAATTAATATATTAAGTGTATGCTACAAATATAAATAGTTAAATTTTATTTTGTAGATTATTATTGTAATTAAAATTTCATTGTAATAAAATTAGTCAAAGAAAGGAATTTTTAAAATATAAATAATCAAAAAGAAATATTCTTAAAACTTTTTTTATTATTTAGTTTTTTTCTCCTAATTTTTTCTAGAATTTAAATTTTTCTCTGCATATTAAAATATAAAATTACAAAAAATATACATAAGATTACTTTTAATTTTTTTTTTTTAAATTGTAATATTTAAAAAAAAAATTTTTTTTTATATTAAATTTAAAAATTGTTAAAAACTGTACCATACATAATTGAAAAGCAATTGAATTTCTATTATTAACCATAATCCACTTTTTATATTTTGTCAATATTACAAGAATTTGTATTAGAATTTAAACATAAAAAAATTACCACTTTTATTTCATCTCAGTATGTAACAAAAAAAAAAAAAAGAAAAAACTTATAAATTTTGTTGAGTTGAGTAGGAAAATGTAAAAGAACATTTATCCATCAGAAATAAATTTAAGTTGAAGATATTCATGACAAATATTGTTATTTAATATTTTTT